ACTTGGGCCTTCTATTTTGATTCTGTCATCATTTCTCATTCTGTCTGTCCTAAATATATTGTATATAATTATACAAGAGGGGGAAATATGCATTCATTTTTCACTATCTTCTGTTTTAAACAATTCTGTCTTTCCAAACAAGCTCAATCTGTGCAATAACTTCTTGTTCATTGTCCAGGTAGTTCCACAGAATAATTAAGTATTTTGGCATAAATATCAGCCTTAATATGTTCCACTTTCTACCATAATTTATATAAAACAACAACAACCAGTAAAGCTCAATCTCTATTTATTTGTTCAATAGACTGATAAAGCAGCCCATTTCATATTCATGACTCTGGGTGGCTAGCAATTAAAACAAAATAAAAACAGCAAAAACACCACCAGTAATTAAAAACATAAATAATATAACATAGCATATAATAGCAGCTAAAAAACAATCACAACCTTTCATGGTCAGCTTAATCAAGAAATGGGCTCATCCACAATATCAGGGCTCCAGGTTTGATGGCAAAGCCAAGATTTGAATGCCTTGTGAAAGGCCAGAAGTGTTGGGGTAAGTCTGATCTTGAAGATGATGATGTTCCAAAGGGCAGATGCCATCACAGAATAGGCTCTCTTTCTGTGGTCCCCCCATATGGCACTATCTCATCGATGAGATCAGGAACATGTCTGTCCTGCCATATCTAATTGGACACATAAGACACAACCATTTTATATTTTTCTGTTCTTTCCATTTTGCTAGTAATTTGATAGCACATCACTCTGACTTTTCTGAAATACTTATCCATTTAGCTTTGCTTTCCCCATATACGGCTCTATTCTTTGTAAAAGAAGCAAAAGGTTGCTTGCATGTAGGATTACACTCCTGAGAATATTGTGAACAGTCAAGAAAACAAAACCAATGGATCATTGGAAAAATCAACCCAGAGTTCTCACTCGAGGCACAAATGACCAGGCTCAAATTATCCTGCTTCAGAGACGTTATTGTATATGAAGACCCAACTCTCTGGAAAAGAACTTTCCTAGCTCTAATGCTAGCAGAGATGGACGGACAAAGAAGAAGGGGGTAACCAGCAATGTGGGTAGATTCAACTGATGAGTGCACTGTCAGAGACTTGAAAGAAAAGGTTAGAATAGATCAGGGGTCCACAACCTCTGGGCCATGGCCCACTACCAAGCCTTGAGCTGATCAGAACCGGGCTGTGGAAGTGGTGGGTGAGCATGCACATGCACGCATCCCCTCTTGTGTGAGCAGAGGTGAGCATGCATGTGCACATCCTCTCTTGCGTGAACAGTGGATGAGCGTGTGTGTGCGTGCTCCATTTGCATGAGCAGTGGGCGCATGTGCTCACTGCTGGTACAATGGAGCTGCGCACAGACATGTGTGCTTGCCCATCACTCAGGCAGAACCATTCCCTGTCCTTCCCTCCCTGTCCTTTCCACAAAGGCGGAAAGGTTGGGGAACTCTGGGATAGCTCTTCTTGGAAAAAAAATTGTCTATGTGGTCACTAGGAGTTGAAAATGACTTGATGGCAAATAATCAAGAATTAGTGGAATATTCTCATGCATTCCCTTCTTTGATATTGGCATTATTTTCCAATCTCTAGTCTTTTTCTATATTTATTGACAGACATTTTTCTCTCGCAGTTTTGAACAATTCAGTGGGCATTTCATTTGCACTTGGTCCTTTCTCATTTCATAATTGATCTATTGCTAGTTGTACCTGATGTGTGGAGTTGGTTCCCCTCTCTACAAAAGTTTCTGACATTCAGGGATGTTGGGTGTGTATATGTCAGAATAGTCAAGATGGCAATTGCAACAGGATAATAAAGCCCTCTTTTTCCTTCATTGTTGTCATGATACATAAAACTTCAGACACTCCCTTGACTCAGCCCCCAATGTACAATATTATGAATTCTAAGAGAACTGGAATTGATCCCAATGTAGGGCAAAACAGTGATATGGAAGTACCCTGAATG